CCGCTGTGGATGGTTTCTAAAATGATCATTGAAAACTTCGAGGCACTGAAGTCCTGGCTCAGCAAGACTCTCGAGCCCATGTGAGTATCCGGGGCTGTCTCCTTGCAGGGAGGGAGGTGGGCGATTGGCGGGCGCCGATCAATGCAGTTGCCCCAGATGCATGCGGTGGAGGCCGAAGCGGTGGACGGAGGTCTCGGGGCTCTTGTGTTTTCTCCTCCGCTTCTGTCCTAGTCCCCAGGTTCTGCATATCCCGGAGGGCCTTCATCGTATCGCTGAGTTGGTCCTTGAACCGCTGTCTCCTATTCTTGTCTTCACGTTATAGGTAGACTGATCCCCAACCTACACACATACACACACTTTGTGTTTCCTGAAGGTCCCCAAATCGGCTGCTTTCTCTTTTCTTTTTTTTTTAGCGAATCCGTGCATAATCTCCTGCCTACAGACTATCATGCTTATTTAAACGAACTGAATGGTCCTTATTAAAGATTTGGATAGTTCTAGTCTAAGCCACTCAGGTTTTACCTAAATGCTATCCCTGCAAGAAAAGCCACGTCTCCCATGTGCCGGCTGGCTCAGCGGCCCTTCTCTTAGCTGGTTGAAGATGTAACAGGTGCTGAGATGCTCAGTAAAATTCCCTTTTGCCACCTACACGGTCGTTGGCTTGTAGAGGAGGAAGAAATGCAGTCCGTCCATGTGGAATTTTTAGCACTTTTAAGTGGGGTGTTGTAGATGGGCTATGTGTTTTGGAGGAGGGGATTCAGAGTGCTGAAACGCTTTGGATTGGAAAAAATGAGTGTTTTAAGGATTTATCTCTGACTACATAATAATATATATAACGGGCCAAGTGCTTTATAAAATTGGTTGATTTACAATAAACTTAAAGTGCATTGGGGAAAATTCACTCATTCAATAAATTTATTAAACACCTACTTGGTACTATGGGAAGCGTTGGGGATGGAGCTTTCAAATTCCAAAATTGACAAGGCATAGTAAGCAAATACGATAACTTCAGGCAATAATAAGAATAGTGACGGTTGTAATAATAGATGTAAAAGACTGATTAGAAGGCCCCTCAGAGGAGGTGACATTTGAGCAACATCTTGGGGGAAGAAGGAACCATCTGTGTGAAAGTCTGAAAAAGAATGTTTCTTGTGGCAGGAACAGCAAGTGCAATGGCTCTTAGCAGGAGTGATCATAGTGTGTTCTAGGGAGAGAAGGAAGGTAGTTACAGCTCCAAGGAACCTTGTGGTGGGCGAGAGAATGGAAGGACATGAAGTTGTAGAAATAGGGGCCAAGTCATGTAGCATCTTTGAGGACATGTTCAAGAGCTAGGATTTTATTAAATTATAATGGACTACGTTAGATGATTTAAAGCAAGCAAAGACCGATTTGATTTTGTTTTGACTTAGGCTGTTTTGTAGAGATTAAGGGGGCAAAAATGGAAGCAAGGAGACCATTGTGAAGGGCATTGTAGGCAGAGATGTAGGTAATTTGCATTAGAGTGATAATGGAGACAGAACTAAATATATTTTCTAAGTTAGATTTGATAGGACTTGCTGATGGATTTTATGTGGGAGATGTGGGAAAGTCAAGTCAAGGATGATGACTAAGAAGTTAGCCTAAGCAACTGGATGGGTGATGGTAGAGAAGGCTGGAAGAAAAAAGGTTGAGGGAAAGAGGGTAAGATGGTTGGTTACATCTAAGTGAGATGTCAGATAGGTAGTTGGGTCTATGATTAGAGCTTAGGCCAGGACTAGAGAAATTTGGAGTCACGTAGATGATATTTAAAGCCATGGAACTGTGAGAGATTTCCTAGAAAAATGGGTAGATATGCAAGAGAAGAGAGCCCTGGTCTGTGGTAGGAAGAAAATGGGATATATGTCACTAAGGGGATATATGACAAGAGGCAAGTTGTGAACTTAATGGGATGCTGCAGAATGGGTGAAAAAGATGGCAGTAGATATGTGACCCTTTGATTTGGCAAGGTAGATGTCATTGGTGACCTTAGCAAAAATAGTTTTACTGGAGTGGGATGGTACAGATTGAAGCCCTCTTTCAGGGATTTGGAAAGACAGTGAGCATCAGTGTTGTATCGTGGTTGAGAGGGAGAACTCGAACTCGGGAGCTAGAATGGCTGGATTTGAGTTCTGCCTCTGGCACTTACCAGCTGTATAATATTGAGCAAGTTGCTTTAACTCAGTGCCTCTTTCTTCATCTCTAAATTGGAGAAAATAATGAATATGTGTTAAGCAAATCTTTGAATGCTGCCTGGTTTATAATTAACACTGTTTTAGATGAACAGAAAACTTTAAAAAATGTTATGAGTCAAAATAGTATTCTTCTTTTTAAGCCTCCAGTTTTTGAATTACTTATCAACTTTACTGCCATTTCTCTTTTTTCCCACTAAGCTAAAATTATATATAGTTACTTAGTGTTTATGCTTATAATTTTTCTCTTTAAAAATATATTTTTATTGATTTCAGAGAGAAAGGGAGAGGGAGAGATAGAAATATCAATGATGAGAGAATTGATCGGCTGCCTCCTGCATGCCCCCCTACTGGGAATGTGCCCTTGACCGGAATTGAACCTGGGTCCCTTCAGTCCACAGTCTGACGCTCTGTCCATTGAGCCAAACCACCCAAGGCTATAATTTTTCTTTAGTTTTAACAGAGCATATTCCAGGTATCATGTAGCCTACTCAGATGACTAGCCATGCAGTCATTACTTTTGGGATAAATAAGGCACTACATTAGTAGTAGGAATTGGGATTGGTCCTTCTATAATGTACATTGGTGTGGTAAAATTAATGGGATGCTGCAGAATGGGTGAAACCTATCCAAGTTTCTGTTCCTTTAATTGCATTTCAGGTGAATTCTTTTAGATGATGAGTTTTAAAGCTCCAATTATTTAAGACCTGTGGTTTCTAACCTTGGTTTTGTGAAACTTTAGAATGGGCTCATTATCTGGAGGGATTTTTTTGCTTTACTTTAAAGTTGTATAATTGCCAAATAGCACCTGTTTGAGGGAGGAACATCTGAAGAAGAGCTAAGAGTAAGATGTAACTCAAATTTGTATAGAACTTTTTAGGTACTTTGTACTAGTAAGGCATCTCATGGTTTTGGACTTTGCCCCACATTTTGAATGTATTCATACAGGAAACATTTATTGATTATTTAATCTTCTCTGTGCTAAACAGTGTGTTAGATATTGGGAAAATAGTAGGAAACAAGACATGAAATGACCATCTTCATATTGTTTACCAGTTAGCAGAGAAGACAAGTGTTAAACAAGTAATTACAAGTGTTGTGAAGTCCAGAATGTTGTCAAAATATATGTCTGGGAGGTCAGGAAAGGCTTTCCTGGCATGATAACATTTGATCTCAGTCTGCAAGAATGAAAGGCAGTTTGCTGGGGCAAAAGGATGGGAATGGAGATGTATGAGAGCATTCTAGGTTTTGGAGAGCAGATTGGATGAAGCCCTAAAGCAGTGGTTGTCCACCTCCCTAATGCTGCGATCCTTTAATACAGTTTCTCATGTTGTGGTGACCACCAATTTCATTGTTACAAATTGAACATAATTAAAGCATAGTGATTAATCACAAAAACAATATGTAATTATATATGTGTTTTCTGATGGTCTTAGGCAACCCCTGTGAAAGGGTCATTCGACGCCCCCCCCAAGGGGTCGAGACCCACAGGTTGAGAACCGTTGCCCTAAAGTGACAGAAAATGTGTCTTGGAGGAAATTGAAAAAAGAGCAAGGAGAAGAATAGCATTGGATAGCACCAGAGAGAGGAGCCAGATCACATGACTTTGTTGAGTCATGTTAAGGATTTTGGATGTCACTAAAGGATAATAGGAAACCAGTGGCGGGTTTTAGGGCAGGAGAGTTTTCAGATTGATATTTAAAATAAAAATAGCCTGGTTGCAGTTTCAGCATGAAATAAAATTCAGTAAAGCTGTATTTTATTTGATTATAGTTCTGTAGGTATATCAGAAATCTGAGTTAATTTTTCATTATTGAAAGTGTAGGTGTTAAAATTGACATCTTGAAATACTTAAAATTGATGTTTTCTCTCAAACATTTGCTTAATTATACTTGCTAATAAAATAAAATTAGATATTGGTCTTTCCTTTGATAATGTGAAGAAAAATCTGTTTTTTTTATTTTCAAGTTTTCTGTTTTTGTTTTTAAACAGAAAAGGTTTTCTGCTGTTTTAAAACTTTTGTGAGTTTACATATCACTAAATGTGGCACTTTTATAAAATCATGAACTTTTTTAGTGAAGGGAAACCTCAAGATCTAATCAAACTCAATTTTTCAGAAAATAAAATTGAAAGGCATTTAATGATGTACCCAGATTTTGTGAGTTTAGTAGTAAAGAACAGAATGCCTAAATTTGTGCTCCTGCTGCTAATGCTAAGTACTCCTCTGAAGATAGTGTGTTGTGTGGTGAAAAGAAAATGAGTTTTGAGTCCACATACACCAGTGTTCAAATCTTAGTTCTGCCACTTACTAACTGCTTTCCTTATTAGTATAATAGGGAGAATTATACTTGTTTCCTTCTGTAGTTGAAAGGATTGAAGGAGGCACATTTTTTTAGAGCCTACTCCTTTCTTCCTTAAGTACTGGTTGATTAAACACAAATAGGTTACATTTCTATTGTTACTGTTACTATTATCACTATCATTGCTACTGCCACTACCACCTAACATTTGTATTCATTGATATGTTTTCTATTACTACCCAGTTCTATGAGGTAAGCATTGTTACCTCCATTTTGCAAGTGATGGCACTCAGGCCCTGAAGCACAAAGTCAAGATAACTTGCCTAGAGTCACAGAGTTAGCTATAGCTTGTAACTAAACAGTGATTTAAACAAAAGCTTTTAGACTCGGGAGTCGTGTGTGTGTGTGTGTGTGTGTGTGTGTGTGTGTGTGTGTGTGTGTTTGAGTCATGTTTTTAAATTACTACTATACTGTACTTTCCTATTACTGTTTTCTCTTTTTTATTATAACATTTTCATAGTGATAGCTGCTATTGTAAGGGAACAAGTTCTGAGGCGTCATGGTTATCAGTGC